GAACAATCGCTCCCTGAGAGCCAAGGGAAGCTCCCATTTGCTTGACCACAGGAGCTCCGACAATTGACTGGCTTCAAGGACAATTCCCCTGGAACTATTTTGGGCTTAGCCCATGTGGCGGTCAGTCAAAACTTTACCACAGTGGTGATTTGGCTATACTGCATGGATCTGAGTGCTATTTTGGCAACTTGGGCGCTCAGATCAGAGTTATCCAGGGACATAAAATATGCGTGGGTTTCTGCTAGTTTTCATTGTGTTTTGGGGTTTTTATCTGTTGTACCTCATGTGTCTGGGAGATAACTAGTTTAAGCAAAAGCAAACTCACTTATCTAGACACAGAGACGCCTAAACGGGTTTACTGTTTTCTGAATAGGGACCCAGTGCTGGGGGTCGTGTATATAACCAGCTAACTTGGCCTAATAAAACCAGCTGTTTGAACTTCATGTCTTGACTGATGTTTGGGTGTGCTGGAGCTATAGCGCTATATTTACTGAAGCCTTGAGGGAACTGGGAGAATCCTGGATGGACGTACCACTCTGGGTACAGACGGTCCATCACATGTTGTAACACATTCAGGATGCCTGAACACTGGTTAAAAGTAACACGGTGTACAGTGTAGCGGAGAGCTGATTTCCCACAGCCTATTTCCGTTGGTATCCTAGAATGGTTTAGGAACAAGTAGTAAATCCAATAGGGTAACAAGCACAATCAGCAAGGCAATCCAGTAATATGCCATCACCTTTCCTTTAAGGAATGGCATAATATCATTGAGAGTAAAGTTGGAAAGGGTTGTGCGTAATAGTAATAGATTATTTTCGAGGGGATTTGGGGGAGCTCTGTCATCCATCCAAGAACACTTGTGGCTTTATGTTACTTATGTTACTTATGTATATGACTTCTAGGACAGTGAGATGTAAAATATATTATTTGCACAGAGAATATCTTTAAAAATATGGATGGAAAATCACAATAAAAATTATTAAACAAAAAAAAAATAACAACTGGATGTATACTTGCAAAAACATAATATATAGGGATATAAATTTTATTTTGTGGGGTAGTAGCTTCTTGATCCAAGGAGATATCTGACTGCCATTCTGGGGTCAAGAAAATAATTTTTTCCTACTTTGTTGCACAATTAGAAGTGCTTTATACTGGGTTTTATGCCTTCTTTTGGATCAAAAGCAAAAATCAAATGTGAGAAATGCCGAACTTGATGGACACGTGTCTCTTTTCAGCCTATGTAACTATGTAAAAGGATTGGAAGAACAAAGAGCAGGAACAGAAAGGCAAAAAGAATATAGAGAGGAGATTTGGTATTGCACTCCAGCTCCCAGTCATCCAAGAAGTCTATGGAAGGGGCAAGCCAGGCCCCACCCGACCCAGCACTATCCATGCTCCCCTGCGTCTCTCCTCTGTCCCCTATGTACCTTTACAGAAGTCATACAAGAAAGTACTGAGGAGCCACGGTGCCCAAATATCTGTATGTGCCTGGGCTTTACCTTGTGTGGAGTACCATTACTCTTCCAGGACCCAGAGTTCCTCCATCTTGGCAAGTCACAGTGACATTAGTGGGGTGGAGTCTTATTTTCCAATACACAGATAGTATTTACTTAGCAGTGTTTAAAATGCAGATTGCCAGGGAGTGTTTATATTGGTACAAGGGGGAAGTCATGTGATGGAGCAGGTACAGAGGCACATAAAGCATCTGTAAATTGTTGGTGATAGAGGCAGTGCCTTTCCAGTAGGGATCTTTGATCGGGCAAGGTGTCTGTCTTCCTCTCACAAGCCAGCACATACCATCTAGGTTGGGCTACACTCAGTGGCGTAGCTAGAGCTTTTGCCCCCTGGGGGATCTGTGCAGGGGAGGGAGGGAGAGAGGGGTTGTGCGCAGGGGAGGAAGGGGATCTGTACAGGGAGGGGGGCAGTCAGGAAAGCAGGGGGATCTGTGCAGGGGAGGGAGGGGGAGAGGAGTTGTGTGCAGGGGAGGAAGGGGGAGAAGGAGATTTGTACAGGGGGAGAGGTGGCCGTTTCTTGACTCTTGATGAACTAGATCACACATTTTGTGCCATTGGCCATTTGCCTATGTCCTGTTCCCATTTCAACTTAAAGCGGGGTGGAGGCAGCCTCTGTTACTGGAGGATGGAATAAAGGCAAGATATACTATGAGGCATAGGGTCAGGTTCCTGACACAGCAATTCAAAGAGTGTGAGATCTCTATTATGTTTGTCTGGTTCGACTGGATTTGTGTGGTGCACCTTTGCTGGAGAGGACTCTGAAGGCAGGGCATACAGGTCTGCATAATATTGTTTCACAGCTGTGGCGATCTCATCTGGGAGGTGACATAATTGACCAAAGACGTAATGGACACGTGCGATGTATGTTGTGGAATGTTTCTTATAAATTATTCTTGCCAGCAACTTGCCACATTTGTTGCTTTCGGCATAAAAGAATGATTTGGTGTGTTGCAATTCCCTGGAGTAAGACGCCTGTAGTATTGCAAGTGTAAGGCTTGTCAAGAATTTGACCTCGAATTAAAATATAGCTACCCTCCTGATACATCAGAGTAGATTTCACTACAAATGGAATATAATAGATTTATGAACCAGAATAGCAGTGCCTTTGGATTTACTGTCTGGGTTGTTACTAAAAAAATCCCTGTTTATAGATGTGGGTACAAAGTTTCAGGGCAGAGCCCTCTTTAAAATGGGTTTCTTGAAAATATAGTATGTGAGCATGTGTACTTTTGCATATACCTAGTGCATGAGATCTTTTTTTTTCAAGAACATTCAATCCTCAAACTTTCAATGAAAGGATGTTCAAGGAGCGTATGCAGGCCCGGTGGAGGCCATGATAATACACTGTCTAATAAACTGACCCCTGGGGTCGCATTTAGCGCCGCTTTTAGTGGCCACAGTTGCAGCTGTAAATAAGTACAGTTAGGTAAACAGTAGAAATCAATTATCTAACCCAAATAGGGCAGCCAAATACCTTCCATCTCAGGATCTCCGAGCGCGCAGGGAGATCACAAGAGGCACACGAACGTCTCTGCTGCTCTGCCACAAGACCAGGACTGCACACTCGGGAACCTGACAAATACATACATTTGGCCAAATAGAGCAGCCAGGAGTTTGCCCCTTGGCATTTGTCTTATCCTTTGAGGGGATATTGGACATTAGGAAAATAAGCCCTCCCCCTAGCCAACCTTCCCCTGTGGACTGCCATAGGGTTCTCTGTGTTTTTATTCCCCTTTATTTGTTACAACCTCTTTCCACTTGACCTCCTACTCTCCTTCTAACCCCTCCACGTTTATCCCCTTTTCCCGTTTTGGCAATAGGTGAGTGTGTGTATGTTTGTCAGTTTGTCTGGCATTGAGAGTCACTTTGTGAGTGTATGTCTGTCTGGCAATTTGAATCTGGGTATGTGTGTGTATCACTATGAGTGTGTCTGGAATGTTTATTTGTGTCTATGTGTCTGGAAGCATGCATGTGAATTTGGTGGGGGCTCAGCGACTGTGTTTGTAAGGGGCCATAAATGTTATGATGGCAGCCCTGCAAGTTGGAATGAGAGTAGAGGCAGTAGGTCCAGAGTGCTATACCGGCACATTCTGGCTGGGAACTGTACCACATGCAGAGGTGAAACAGGAAGGATTCCCCACTACTAGATACCAGGGCCCTGGCCTGTTAATTTTTATTATCTCTAGAGCGCGCCTCTGCTGCTGCCAATATTATTTAGTACAGACACTCCTCACTTACCGACCAGGTTCCGTTCCTATGACCCGGTCGTAAACAAATTGGTCGGTAAGTGAGGAGTTAAGGGATTCCCTGCTCTGGTGTGTGGAAACTTCCCTGAACATAGATGAATGCACGAGAGCAGGGAATCCCCACGACGGCTCGCACTTACGCCTGGCTGCTCACTGTTTACTAGACATGCCCCTACTCGCGATATAGCAAGTAGGGGCAGAATTTACTAATACTAAGTATTAAAGTAATCATTACTTAGTATTAGTAAATTTGGCTAAAGGACCAATTTAGGTCTTTCAGCCTTTTGATAGATAGCTCCCTAATACCGTGGGAATTAGGGAGTTATCTACTAAGTGGCTGCAAGACCTAAATTGGTCCTTCGGGAATATGTCAATGTAACACAGGAGCTGCACTCAATCTTCCAACCTTAGAAACAGGGTGCAACCAGATCCGGGTTCAGCACCAAATCCCAAATGTAATACTTCAAAAGAAAGGATAAGGGCACTCCAAAGGGTTAAATTTCAGGCATGGAAAGACTACAGGATGAAAACCATAGTTTAAGAAGAAAGGAACTGATGGACAGCCTGCACGACGACCAGTTTCCTCTTCCTGAAAGGGACAATAGTGGGTATACTCTACACACTTGCCAATATCTACACACCCAATAGAAGACAAGCTCAGTTCCTTAGGGTTACACTAGACAAATTGAACGGCTTCTCTGAGGGCACCTTGGTCCTTGGGGGGGACCTCAATGCACCCCTAGACCCGATCATAGACTCATCAACAGGTCACAGTAGTATTACGCAACTCAATGTACGCTCCATGAGGAGAGCCCTAGGAGACATGGACCTCGTAGACTGCTGGAGGGCCCTCCATCCCACCACTAGGGACTTTACTTACTACTCTGCGCTGCATAATAGATACTCCCGTATTGACTATATCTTCATTTGACAAATGGGATTAACACAACTGCTATCTGCCAAGCTTGACCCAGCGACGTGGTCGGACCACGGCTCTTTCACCATCGAGCTTGAGTCACCCCTCTTCCGACCCTCCGCATGGACTTGGAGACTCAATGAGGCCCTGCTTCTCGACCCTGAGACTCGTGGGCAGGTAACCGAAGAACTGGAACACTATTTTCAGGAAAACGACATGCTGGACGCCTCCCCTGTCTCTATATGGGAGGCGCACAAAAGCGTAATCAAAGGAACACTCATCCAAATAGCTTCCAAAAAGAAAAAGGCGGCTACACGAGAAATGGCAGATCTCTACAAATCTATCATGACATTGGAACAGCAACACAAGAGATCCCAATTGATGGAGACGTACGGAGAACTACTGCAAGCCAGAAGCCAACTGAGAGACCTCCTCACGAAACACCATCTACGAACCTTGCAACACTCCAAAGGGTTCTTCTACGCACATGCCAATATAGGGGGCAGATACCTAGCACGACTCCTGAAAGGTAATGCCCCTCGCACACAGGTTCGCAATCTGCGCCTCTCATCAGGCGCCATGATGGCCTTTCCAAACAAAATAGCTGAAGAGTTCAGACAATGCTACCAATCGCTCTACAATCTACATGAGAAGGACAGACAGGATGAAATGGACACAGAATATATACCAGAGTGCAGGAATACTTAAGAGATGCCGGGACGAAGGCGAGCGATCTGTACTCACAAAACTTCGTCCCACTACTGAAGACACTATTGGCAGACCTGAACAAATGGGCATACCCGCATGTCTCATGACATGGAAGGATTTCAGTTCTTTAAATGAACATTCTACCCAGACTCCTTTATCCGTTCCAGATGATCCCACTGGCCATACCCGCACCCTTCTTTGCCGCATTAAAATCGGCGGTCATTCGCTACGTTTGGAGGGGTAAACGATCAAGGCTACGACATGAACTACTATGTTTACCACGACATCGAGGAGGTCTGACACTACCCGATTTTAAACGGTACCATCAAGCTACTGTCCTTGGCACGAGAGGGACAAGGGGAACACCTACAGGCCGCTGTGTGGGGGAAACAGGCAAAGACGAATAGCGATGGAGGTGGGGATGGATTGGTGGCACATTCAGGGGGCGGAAGCGATGCAAGCATCCCTGCTTAGCAGAGGGGACAAAAATGCAGAGATGAGGCACCCGTGGTTTGTATTTGTGTCTCGGGACCAGTAGGGTGGGACGGGGGGGCCTGTGGGGGGATGTCGGACCCACGGGGTGAGACCCATTCTTTTCCTATGCTTTGACATATTGACTCCAAAAACCGCTGGCAGGCTACCGTGCCTCGCCTCATATCACGCGGAAACGGAGACATGATGGAGCTCTTCTTTTCCTCTTCTCCCTCCTTTTCCCCTCAGCTAGCCTACCCACAGTTCACAATCTTTTCTCTTTGCATGCATACACAGCCAGATCAAATACAATCACACTAAAGTGATACACTCTCATCCTGGTCTAGCCTAATTGGGGCGAGGTGGAGAGAACACACCAAAAAGCTATTACTTCAACCGCACCTCATGGATACACCACTAGACGAGACAAGGGCATACACAACCATTTGGAAAACAGCATGGAGGTATAAGATTATACCATGTATACGAAACACCTCTTTGGCAAAGACAGTAGCAAACTTGGGAGAAGAGGGCAGTTTGGGTAAAGGAATGAAGTGTGCTGTTTTAGTAAATCTATCTACCACAGTCAAGATTACCATTTTTTTGTCAGACATAGGTAGATCAACAATGATATCCATCGCTATGCTAACCCAAGGTTTATTGGATATGTCAAGAGGTTGAAGCAAATCACAAGGGAGAGTATGGGACAATTTGGTTCTACTACAGAACACAGCATGCTAATACTTAGTCCTTGATATATTTTTGCAAGGATGGCCACCAATATTCTTTAGAAATAGATCCTAAGTTTTACGTATACCTTGGTGACCTGCGATCTTACTGTCATGAAGGCAAAGGAGTAACTTTCTCTGGTGTTCTAGAGGAACATACAATCTACCTTTAGGAATGTTCTCAGGAGCTAAGTTTTGCTTGGCAACGATGCTAGAAACCAGAGGAGATTGTATACTTATTCGAGTATTAGCAATGATATGTTACAAGGGAACTACAAAAGTTTTGTTGGTCTCATTGCATGCCATAGGCTTGAAATGTCTAGATCAAGCATGTCAAACTCAAAGTCTAGCATGGGCTACATAAACAAGGTTTAAGTTTATGTGTGGCGCAAAAAAACAACAACGTAAAATTCTCGTAGAAACTTAGATTTAAAAAAAAAAAAGTACAGTATAAAAAAAAAAACAGCATCCCCCTCTACTAAACCACAGCACCCCCTCTACTAAATCCAAATCCTACCCTCTACTAAATCTTAGACCCCCCCTTATACTAAATCCTAGTACCCTCCTCTAGCCCACAAGCAGACTCCACTCACATTGCTGCTGTCAGTATTCGACTCCAGAGTCCGTCTGCCATCCGCACAAATCTGATCCTCCCGTTACTTCTTGAAACCCTGTGAAGGTGGAGCACGTCAATGTCATGCCGGTATGTGCCTCCATGCACCGCCAGGTACTCCACTGTCCAGTCGCAGCCAATGCAACACTGATCAACACACACACACACACTCAATGACACACACATACACACACACACACACACACACTCACTAGCTGACTGACATACACACACACACTCACTGACAGACACACACAGACACACAGTGACACATACAGAGACACACTCACTGACAGACACAGACACTCACTGACACACACACACACACACTCACTCACTGACAGACACACACTCACTGACACACTCACACACTCACTCACTGACAGACACATACAAACACACTCACTCACTGACAGATGCACACAATGACAGACACACACACACACACATACATTTACACATTCTTGGACATTTTATTTTATTACTCCCTACCTTTGGGAGCTGGTGTAGGCCCTCTTCTATCTGGAGATCTCCTTCTTGCTCTTCATTGCTCCCTCACGCGAAGTTTAGTGATGCCGGGTGCCGGAATATGACACTACAGATGGCGCGCGCGAGGGAGCAGTGAAGAGCAGGAAGGCTGAGCTCCCTCGCTGCATCCACCACCTTCCTCTCCTCCCAAGCTGGGTAACTTTTAGCAGAGTAGGCACCTGCAATGTGGAGAAAGCAGGTGCCTACTCTGCTTCAACACTAAGCATGCACTTGCGGCTCGCTGGGCCGCAAAGATGTCCATTGTAGGCCACATGCAGCCCATGGGCCGCAAGTTTAACATGCTTGGTCTAGATAAAGCATCCGCTTTAGAGTTTTTTGACCCAGGTCTATAGGTCAGGATGTAGTTAAACCTAGCCAGGAAAAGGGACCAACGAGCTTGTCTAACTGACAAATGTTTGGCCTCTCAAATATAGGAGAGATTCTTATGGTCAGTTAGAATGGTTATTGGATGTAAAGTACCTTCTAAGAGATTACACCATGCTTTCAAAGCCAAAATAATAGCAAGCAGTTCCCTATCTCTTATATCATATCTCCTTTCTGTGTCTGAAGAGGTTCATTATGATCTTTTCTCTTTGACAATAGAGCTCCTAAACCAGTTTTGGATGCATCAACTTCTAATAGAAAGGGAAGGTTAAGATTCAGGTGGACTAGTATAGGAGCAGAAGAAAAAGATTATTTTAGTGTTTCAAAAGCTTTAAAGGACCACTCTAGGCACTCAGACCACTTCAGCTTAATGAAGTGGTCTGGGTGCCAGGTCCAGCTAGGGTTAACCCATTTTTTCATAATTATAGCAGTTTCAGAGAAACTGCTATAATTATGAATGGGTTAAGCCTTCCCCCTAATCCTCTAGTGGCTGTCTCATTGGCAGCCACTAGAGGCGCTTGCGTGCTTCTCACTGTGATTTTCACAGTGAGAGCACGCAAGCGTCCATAGGAAAGCATTGTAAATGCTTTCCTATGTGACGGGCTGAATGCGCGCGCAGCTCTTGCCGCGCGTGCGCATTCAGCCGGCGGGGAGGATCGGAGGCGGAGAGGAGGAGGAGAGCTCTCCGCCCAGCGCTGGAAAAAGGTAAGTTATTACCCCTTTCCCCCTTCCAGAGCCGGGCGGGAGGGGGACCCTGAGGGTGGGGGCACCCTCAGGGCACTATAGTGCCAGGAAAACGAGTATGTTTTCCTGGCACTATAGTGGTCCTTTAAGAGCTTCAGGAGACCATTTTTTAGGATTAACACCTTTTTTAGTCAGATTCGTTATGGAACCGACAATAGATGAAAAACCCTTGATGAATCGTCTATAGTAGTGAGAAAAACCAATAAATATTTGAATGGCTTTGAGTCCATTAGGTAGTGGCCAATTGAGTACCAGAGATTTCGTAACACAGGAACCCAATTTCAGATTTGTCAAAAAGACGTTTCTCTAACTTACAATATAAACCATGATGTAACAGTCGGGTAAATACCTTTTTAACTTGTTTGTGATGTGTTTTCTTATCCTTAGAGTATATCAAAATATCATCAAGATACACCATCACACACTCTTAAAATCTCTTAAGACATCATTTATAAGTTCCTGGAAGACAGCCGGGGCATTACATAATCCGAAAGGCATAACAGTGTACTCGTAATGCCCGTACCTGGTGTTATAAGCTGTCATCCACAGCTTTACGAAACCTTACAGAATATAAATTCCTCTTAAGTCTAGCTTGGTAAAGATTTTGGCACCCTTCATCCTGTCAAATAATCAGTGATAAGGGGTATTGGATAGGCATTACGTACAGTAATCCTACACAATCCTCTGTAGTCAATTCAAGGCCTGAGAGTACCCTCCTTTTTAGACACAAAGAAAAACCTTGCTGGTGAAGAAGATCTTCTAATAAAAGCTTTTTTCAGGTTTTTTTTTATATACTCTTTTAACACCGTGTTCTCTTATGCAGAGAGAGGGTATACAGTGCCTCTAGGAGGCATGGTTCCAGGAAGAAGGTCAATGGCACAATCATATGACCTATGAGGTGGCAACAATTCTGCTTTACCCCTATCAAAGACGTCTTTCACCGTTATATATTGTTCCAGTATCTCTGTGGACAAGGGAAACATAGTAGGAACATTGATGAGGTGAATAGGGTGTACTTTAGTAATACATCCCTTCACATAATTGTGACTCCAAGAAACAATCTTGCCAACATCCCAGTCAATAGATTGATTGTGTTTCCTTAACCAGGGGAACCCCAACACCACTGGGAAAATAGGGGAAGTCATGTGTTGAAATACACAGATTTCCTTATGTAACACTCCTACCATTAGAAGAACTGGTATGGACTCATGAGTAATCATGGGTACCTGGAGTGCTCTACCATCGATGGCCTCAACAGCCAAGGGTGTATCCCTTAACCGGGAAGAGAGAGAATTTTCTTTGGCAAAATTCTGGTCCATAAAATTCTCTGCGGCACCAGAGTCTATTCAAGCCATGGTATTGACCTTATTGTTATCCCAGGTTAAGGTGATGTTAACTAGAAGCCTGTGATCTTTATGATTCATTATGGAGGACAAAGAAGAAACACCCAAGGCCTGTACCCCAAATGGACTTAGGTGCAGGAGTTTTCTGGTTTGTTAGTGCAATTTAGGCAGAGATGTCCCCTTTGTCCG